GGGCCCCCCCCCCCTGCTTTCCTTGTGCATGGGTCCCAGCCACTGTGATGTTGCATGGTCCCTGTGGGACCTGGCTGTAGGGCTGGGGCAGGGGGCTGACACGGCCCTGGGGCCATGCGGGGAACGCCAGGGGGGCAGAAGGAGATGCCGACCATGGTGACGATGTAAGGGCTGCCCTCAGCTGCCCCCTCGGTAATCCCACACCATCCAGGGCAAGGCCCAACCAACAGCCCTTTCCTTCCCCCCCTCCAGCACCTTTGGGGGGCTGACAAGTGCTGGGTAGGGGAGGAGGGTGCCACAGGAGGCTCTTGCCCCTACAGCTACCAGGGTTCTCTGCTGCAAGGGTGGCCCCTGGAAAGAGGCACAGGCAGTGGACAAACCCAGTCCCTGGTGCAGCCTGCTCTCCTGGGGCTGCTGGGCATTCATAAGGTTTGGGGGGGGCAGCCAAGCTCCCTGGCTGCTGCCAGTGCTGATCCAGGGGACACCCTCAGCCCCCCAGGAGGTTTTCACTGCTCTGGGGCAGATGCTGTCAGAGGTCCCATGAGTGCCATCCCCACCACGAGCCATGTCCCACAGGTTGCAAGGAAGAAAATCGAGGTTTTCTAGCCCTCCTGCTGGCTTTGATTAGCCTTTGCAATTAGCTGAGGCAGCAGGGAAGACTTGGGCTGCTGGGAGCTGGAACACACACCCCAACATCCCATGCCCTGCTTGCCCCGGCCTCCACAGCAGACAGAGATGCCGGGGGCAGATATTCCCCCAGTGCTGGCTGGGTTGTGATGGTACCAAACTGGCAGGGAGGGAGAAACCCATCTCCTGGCAGAGCTGAGGAAGGCTTTAAGGAGAGTCCTGGAGCTTCTGGAGTGGGTGCAGAGCAGCCCCTTCCCCCTTGACAGGTGGCTGAAAGCAGCTGGTTCCTGGTTGCCTCCCTGGCTGGAGCTGCCTCCCCTGGGGGTTCCACTGGTGAAGCAGCAGCACATGAAAGCAAAACCAGCATCCGAGTCCCTGCAGAGCTGTGGGGAGAAGTGCGGGCAGCGAAGCAGCCCTGGAGTAAAAGTTTCCAGGTGCCAGTTAAACCAAAAAGGGGCAGGGGAAGCACCAGCCCTCCCATCCTCAACCACACTACCCCAGGAGAGGGCGATGGCCAGTGTCCCCACAGAAGTGAGCAGCAGCATTTTATCTAACAGAGGTCGCATGAGTACAGGGCAAGAGCAGTGCTGGCAGAAGCTCTGAAATAGGACAGAGCACCTGAGCTGCCCACCTTCCCAAGGGGCCTGCATGGCCTCGTACCCCAGCAGGAAGTCGTGCAGCGTTCCCAATTTCAGTGTTTCTCCCCCTTGCTATGCACAAAGCCCCGTCTCATGGACAGGCCAGTCCTTCTGCCATTTTGAGACTCTCCTCTCCCCTTGTATCGAGCTGGTTTGATGGAGCCCTCCAAAATCTGCTAGGCCTTCATGGAATCATAGAATGGTTAGGGTTGGAAAGGACCTTAAAGATCATCAGGGTCA